TGTGCTTGAAACAAGCTGCAGATTCTCATTGCTTTGATGGATCTGGATATTTACATGGCACTAATATTCATCTGCAGGGTTATGACTTGGTCACAGTGCCATCCTTACCCTGGAGGTGGGATCGTTGCAGGTAACTTTTTGGCTAGCATGTCAGTGGCCATCTCTGGTCTGGGGAGATTAGTGAAAAGCATCATTGACGATTGGTGCAGTCTTGGTAAACTTCAGGACATGTCCACACCCCCTGGAGTTCTGTTGCATCATTGTATCATCGGGTGACACTAGTCAGATTAGCCTTATGTATACGAGGAACAGATGAATGACTGTAATGTGTTCAAGGCAGCGTGCATGCGTGCTTCAACGCCTGTAAATTTCCTGTAATCAAACATTGCATATTCGAAATGTCTCTTTTTCAATGGTGTGCTGCCTTGATTTCTTGTATAGTAATATATATAATATTTATGATAATATTATTAATGGTCACGAAAAACAAAGTATTATCAATGAAAATCTTGTAATTACCCAGCAAGATCTGCTCCGCGTTTTGATTTCCAATTAAAATATTTATTATAACCAATAAAGACAACAAATATATATATCAATTCAAGTAAAAAATAGTAGCATCTCTGGTTAGTTATTAACACGTATTCTTTAGGAGACCCAAACCAAACCAAACAACAACACTCACGTTTTGTCACCTTGGACTCTGTCAAAAAATAAATTGTTTTTCCAAGAAAGAAAAGAAAAAAAATCAATCAATTCGTGTCTGTCCTACCAGAAAAAAAAACCAATAGGATAAATAATTAGCGTGTACGTGTCGATCAAATAACAAACTTCTTTTTACATGCCACGTCAATCGAAAAGAACAAAAAACCAAGAAGAAAAAGATATCACTGGGTAAGTGTTTTAAGGATGTGGTGGTGGTTATCGCCCGCCACTCGTCATTACTCTAGTTCATATGGTTGACAATTGATCTCTTTTGTATTTACTTTTTAGTAATCTGAAGCATCATTCATCACGAGGAGGAAAAGAAAATGTTCAACCTCAAAGAATTTACTATGATGGTGACGATGACAAACATAAAAATAAAAATATTCTTTTAAAATATTGGACATACATGGCTAGAAAAAAAGAAAGTCCACATCTCTTCACGTATTTATTGTTTGCTGCAAAAAGTTCATTAATTAAATTAAATAATGATTTTGAGAAAGCAAAAGCTTTTTTAGTTGAACTTTATAAGACCAAAGAAATAAGTATTTTATATTATTTAATTATACAGAGTTGTTTATCATTATCAAAAATTGGAGTAAGTCTCATCTCTTTTGTTGATTATATAGGGCACTAATAAATACAATGAAGAATCAAATGATCCTCATCAGGAAATTAATTTAGCGTAAACTTGCATAAATCTTATGATGCCGACGTAATATTGTGTAAATCTTACAGTGCCGACGTAAGTTTTACACTTTTTTATTATTAAACTTACAATTGGCACGTGTAAAATTTTTTTATATTTTCCGGATGCTAATGTACTAGAATTTTGGGATTTAGTTAAAATCACAATAAGTAATTATTCATACATTGAGTATTCAATGTTTGTAGACAAACAATCTAAACAATTTGGGATTAAAACAATAAATGTGGATAATTTATTGAAAAAAAAATAGAGCCTTACATAGTTTATCAAAGGTACAGTCCCCGGCGAAAAGAATGGCGGACGCATTTTTTAAAGGTACGTAAAATTTTCATTATTAATTTAATATTATTTTTTTATTATTTAAAGTATGATACTAACACAACATTTTTTATTATATGATTAATATTTTGTATGGCCTCCTTGTGCATTGATGCATGCTTGAATTCGGTTTGGCATGCTTTCAATGCACCGAAGTAACACATTATTGTCAAGATTGTCCCATTCCTGCCGGATTATGGTAAGAAAAATCTCTTGTGAGATTTTTTTATTTTTTGCCACTAAATTCTTGACCTTTCTCTCTACTTTTCTCTTTAAAATGGCCCATACATTCTCAATAGGATTCAGGTCTGGGCTGTATGAAGGCCAAGAAAGAACCCATCTTGGAAGACGTTCTTCCAAGTCACGCCGAACATCTCATGAGGTGTGTTTTGGGTCATTGTCTTGCTGAAAGACCCAGTTACGGCCATGTAACATGTTTGCATTGTCGTATAAATGATTGTCAAGAATTCTCTGGTACAAATGACGATCCAAATTTTCTGTGAACAGATGAATTCCGATTTTTCCTTTGACACTAATCGCCGCCCAAACGTGAACTTTGAACGGATGTTTTACCATAGGAGCGACAGGTTGTGCATTACGAGACCATGCATTAATTGTGTTGCTAAACATCTGGAGTGTTGTTTCATCAGAAAAAAACAACTTTCCTCCAGTTGTAGTGCCAATGTTCACGTGCCCAAGACAAGCGAACGTCCTTTGCTCTCTGGGTCAAGAGAGGCACTTTTCATGGAAGAATTGAAATGTAACTGAGATTTTTTAGCTCACGACGAACTGTACGTTCACTGACCTCGAGCTCAGGGTCATTTTCCTCCAGTTTAGCCTTAAGTTCGCCTGCCGTCGTGAAGTGGTTGTGTTTCAAAATTTTTCCAATATGGCGGCGTTTCTTGGGGGACAACTTTCTTGGGTGACCAGGTGAGTGATTTATAGAGTTATTGCCATTTTTACGTAATTTACTGACATATCATTCACAGGAGCGTAAAGGGATATTCAATCGTTCAGAAATTTCTTTTGCATTACGCACGTTTTGTTGCCAAAGTGACTTAACGGCATTTCGCTGGATTTCAAGTGGACTTGGCATTTTTTAGCGGGCAAAAACAAAATGTAAACAATAACAAACCTAATTGTTTACAACTTACTTATTAAATAAACAATCCATTGTCCAATTTGGTAATATAAACAATGGCCCAATTTGGAAAAATGGTGATGTTGTGGCCAAAAATAGATGTGGTATCTCCACCGCCATTCTTTTCACCGGGGACTGTAAATTTTCATTTTTTTATTTGTTTTATATTGATATATATACAGTATATTAATTAAATATTTAATAATTATTACAGCTACAATATAAGGAGGATGTTAATCTAGTAACACAAATAATTGCAGGAAATATCACAAATACAAAGCTAATAAAAAATGATCCACTTTTGTCAGGGATTATTGATGTAATATTTTTACAGAGTAATATCGTTAGTGAATTAAAGATGGGAAATGTTTTTGATGATGTAAATCAAGGCTTATCTATTGATGATCTTCCAGGTGGATTAGAGGAGTTCAACAGAGAATACATGAATAAGAATGAACGCTATAACATACCTGAAAAATATTTTGAATCGGAATTTTTTGATTTGTTTATTGCATTACTAAAGTTTGCTAAAGATGGTTGGGATAAGATGATAAATTCATTCAAGAATAAACCCACTGATATTAGTAACTTTTTTAATATTGAAACAATATTGATCCATTGTCATGGTAAGCTATTTAAATTTTAAATTTTTTAATTTTATAATGCTTATAATAGATTTTTTCTACTCTTTAGGAACCATCGTTGAAATTTTCATTGTGGATAGGAAATATTATCCCTTACATAGAGCTCGTAGACTATGTTGTATATATATACCATTGGATGATAACAATGAATCATTTACAGAGACAATTATTTCACTAATCCGCATCGTATATTCAGTAAATCAAAGATTGAAAAAATCACTAAATATCATAAATGAGATAGAACAAACATCATTTCAGGAATTACACAACATTGAAAAGAATGATTTAGTTACAATTCTTACTTATGATAGTGATTGAATTACCTTTTTCATATAGTATTTGCTTAATAACAAATTAATATTATTTTTTAACATATATGTTGTTTATAATGAAATTCATAAATTTTCTTATTTTGAGGATTTTCAAAAACATATATATCTAGTAAAATTTGATTTGTTGGAATTGGGTGTGATCTTGACTTTGGATTTTTAGATGATCTATAAATAAAAACAAAAATACTATTAATCTATACTATTTTTAATTTGACAACAATTTGATTTGATTAATTCCAAGTGCATGTTCTCATATATGTACAGTAATTATGTATTTAACTCATAATCTATATAAAATAAAATAAAATTAATCAAAAAAAAACGAAATTGATTACAACAAAAAAAATTTGTTTTATTTTATCTGTTTATTTCAATTTTAAATCTATGTACATATCTGTTTATCTACTACTAATTCTTTAATGTATAACAAAAAAATTAAACAGCTTCCAATTTATTTTCTAATCTATTACTAATTCTATCTATCTGTACTACTAATACTGTCCACTTTAAATTTTTAAAAAACCCATATAATAACTTTTTCTTTTTATATACTTTCTGCACAAATATATATCAATACTACTGAATCTTTTATCTTCTTCTGTCACTTCTACCTTAATACCATACCACATGCCATGCATGACACATCATCTCACTGAAGAAGAACGAATAGAAGCTGATGCTGCTTGATAATGCAGAAACAGAGCAATAGAAGCAGATGAACAGCATTACCAAAGGCACTAAAAATTCCTGGGATGTGCTATTCTAATGGAAATCTGGTGTTAGCCGAACCCAACATCCCCTCTCCTGTAAAATCTCCTTTTCAGTCAGAGCAAAAAGCTCAAGATCTCTTAACTAATCAAGATCAAATGTCTTCTGATGAGCTAATGCTTGAATTAGAATTATTAGATCAGGATTTACTGGATGAAGAAATTAAAAAAGCAAGTTACTGACTTATTAACTGAATTAGAAAAAAAAAAGGAAGAAGAGAAGCAAGAAGATAAATATAAAAATGTCTATGATTTTAATGAGGAAGAACAAAAACCCTTCTCTCTCTTTGATTTGGAACAATTAGAACAGTTTTTTATTCAGCATGAGAAAATGTAACTCTTGATGGTGATAATAAACTAGTAGTTGAATATAATAATAATAATCTTGAATTACAACAGGTATTTAATTATTTAAAAAGCAATAATAAAACCTTTTTATCCCAATCAGAACTTAGTCAAATAATTGCTGAGCAAAAGAAAGAACAATTACCATCAACCAACCCAACCAATTACTTACCTTACACTTTGGAGGAACAATAATAATATTGATGATAGGGTTTTTGCCTATCTGTTAGGAAAAAAGAAAAAAAAATTAAGGAATTAATTAACCT